GGGGATGGTCTATTTTTGGAGAGGAAGATTGGCAGGGAGAGGGATGAGGTTAAAGACAAGTTAATGAGGAGCAATAATCAAGGAATTCAAGGACTTTAAAACACACACACCACCACCACCACCACCACCACCACCACCACCACCAGTACCACCATAAGGAACTCAAAGAGTTGGGTTATAAATAACGCATGCTAAGGAGTGAAGATATGAGAAGGGATATAATATAATCAAAATATATTGTATAAAAATTTTAAAATTTCAATAAATAATTTCTAAAAAGTATTATTTTTATTTTATGTGCATGAGTATATAGTCTGCATATGTGTAAGTGCACCTGTGTCATGAAGTGCCCACAGAGGTTGGAAGAGGGCATTGTATTCCATTGGAACTGGTGTTACAAATGATTGTTAACTGCCATGTGGGTGCTGGGAATCTAATCCAGGTCCTCTGCAAGCGTAGCCTATGCTCTTAATCACTGAGTCATCTCTCCAACACCATAAATAAAAAAATTAAAAATCCTATACCCTTTTAATTTAGAAAATCTAAAAGAAATGGATGAATTTATAGATTCAACAGAACCATGAAAATTAAACCAAACATAAATCAATAATGTAAACAGAACCATAACAAAGAATGAAGTGGAAATAGTAATACGAACCTTCTGACTGTAAAGAAAGAGGTCCAGATGAATTCAGCTTACAATTTTACCAGACATTCAAGGAACTATCAACTAATATTGCTTAAATCATTCAAAAGTATAGAAACAGTGAGATAACATTCAAACTATATGAACCCAGAATTATTTTAATACTAAAACCCCGTAAGTGGACAACAAAAAAGAAAACTACAGTCCTCTATCCTTAATGATCACAGATGCAGATTTTCTCAATAAAATAGTTCCAAATAAGAGGCACATATCAAAAAGATCAACCACTATGATCAAGTAGGCCTTATTCCAGAGATTCAGGGATAATTCAATATACAAAAGTCAACAAAAGTAAAAATCATATAAAAGGGCTTAAAGACAAAATCACATGATCATCTCAACAGATGCAGAAAAGACCTTTGATAAAATCCAATACATATTCATGTAAAATTCTAAGAGTGAATTGGACTGGAGGGAACATATCTCAGCATAATTAAGGCTGTAATGACATACCCACAGCCAACATCATTCTAAATGGAAAAAATTTGAAGCATTCTCATTAAAAGCAGGGTCTAAGCCAGGCATGGTGGCTCACACCTTTAGTCTTAGCACTTGGACAGAAGCAGGTGAATCTCTGTGAGTTCTAGTCCAGCCTGGTCTAGGGCTACAGAGAGACCCTGTGTCAAAAAAGACCAAAAAATAAAAAGAAAAACAGGGTCCAGACAAGGACCTATTCCCACTTATTTCAATATGGCTTTGGAAAATCAAGCTAGATCAATAAGACAAGAGAATTAAAGGGGTACTACTTTGAAAAGAAGAGGTCAAATTATCCCTATTTTCAGATGATACGATATTATACTTAAAGATTCAAAAAAAAAATCTCATCAGCAGTATTCTACAGATGATCAACACTTTCATCAAACTGGCAGGATACAAAATCAATTTACAAAATTTACTAGCTTTTTCGTATACCAACAACAACCAGTCATAAAATGGTACCATGGAAACAATCCCATTCAAATAGCCTCAAAAAATATCTTGGAATATACTTATGAGACATCATTAAAATCTCTACAATGAAAATATAAATCATTTAAAAAGAAAATGAAGAAGACAGTAGAAGATTGAAAGACCTCCTGTGCT